TATTCTGGGAAAAAACATAAACCCCCAAAGATGGAAATAATTTTATTCTGACATTTTGCTTGAGAAGTTTGCATTTTTGATTTTGGTTTTCACTTCTCTGAAATTCATAAAATTATTTTGAAGAATAGCAGCTTTTTTCCCCCTACATAGTGACTTTCATGACTAAGCCTGCTCCCTAAAAAATATTTTTTCAAGCATTCTGATGACTTTCTGTAAGATTCAGAAAGACTGCATTTTAAACACATTCTTTATTACTAATTCAGAAATACTTTCTCAGTTTTATCAAATTCCTTAGCTTAAGGTTTAATTGCATTCTGACCTTTTTTAATTCAGTAACATATATTTAAAAATGGAAGTCCTTTTCAGACCTGAACTATAAGCTTTTATTATTCATAGCTTGGTATGAGATTGTGCAAAAGAATATATTACTACATTTTGAAATGAAATTGTGATACACATAGGCTAAGAGAGAACTGCAGGATTTATGCTACAAACTTTTGCTATTTGATACACATCAGAAAGACCTTTTCAAACTGTATCATTAATTCTCTCTTAGTGGGCAAAACCAAAGGCTTCAAAATTGGAAAGACCCTTGAACATTTGTTGAATAATACAACCAGAGAAGATTATTATTTCTAGATCCTAAAAGCTACTGCTTTATAAAAAAAAAAAGAGTATTATGTAATTGCAGCAATTTTAAGGAATTAATATTGATACAGTTCTATTTATTGACCATGGATGGAGCATAAACCCAAAGAATTTATATTAGATATTTAAAACATTACATTGAGTGTGTGCCATTTAGCAAAGAATTCACTGACTGCTAGTAGACCCTGTGACTGGGGATGAAAAAACTTGAATTCATTTCATATGGATTCTTTCACTTTAAATGTAATCAAAACCAGACATTTGTGTACTGAGTTACAAAGATGGTGGGTTTATTTTCATTAACAAGTCATTCTCTATAACCACCTTTTGAAAACGACAACTTTTTTTCAGTTTTGAAAACCAAGATCAGCAACATAAACATGATTACAGCCTCTAGCACCAGATGATTTTAGTTTGATCTTATCAAATCTTTTGACATTGTGGTTTTAATTTTTTTTTCCCTTTGAATGGTATTCTTTAGAACTAGGTTCAGTTTCCTGTTCTTGTATATAAAGATTTATATGTTGTAAATACATTTCATTTTTATCTGTTCATAAGTTTTCTTCCATTAGGTTGAAACAGATTTATGTGAACTTGCAATAATAGTAAAACTTACCTACCAGAATGCCAATATTAAAGGAGTCTTCAAAGAGATGCCCTTCTAAACTTAAAGACTTCGTTTGAGAATTCACATAGAAGATACATCTTGCTTTAATGATCTTTTATTGAGATCTAACTTGTTTTTGTTCCTTTTCTTTTAAAGAAAACCCACTGAGGTAAACCCTACGGTTTACTTGCACAGTTTCATCTTGACTATGTTTAGGATTAATTTGGAGTAAGAATGCCTCCTTCTAAATTTAGTGCATTTTGGAAATAGTTAAGCTAAGCAACAAGAACAATGTACTGTTATTTCAGAATAGAAGAGTCAACACATGCAGTTATTCAGAAATAGTTATGAATAGTTCCTGAACTTTAAATTTCTATATTATCTAGGCCTATGACCATAGTTATAAGTAGCCAGCCCTTACAGAAAATTAACCATGGACTTAAAATTAAAGATATGCAGAACTGTTACAAAATTAAGGGTCATTTGTGCCTTTTTTTTTTTTTGCACATATTAACACAATCCATGGATATTAACATCTATCAGATTCTTCTGCTCTAGCTGAAAATGACTGTACTCTGTCCACAGACTTACAATATAGCGAACAAGAATTCAAAGTATTTTCAAAAAAAGATTTTATCTCTGACAATTCCGGTTGTTTTGGGTTGGGGTGGGTTTTTTTTTCAGTAATTATGAAACACAAACAAATACCAACTGTTTATTTTGCAGGAAAGAACAAAATCCTGTAGAATTTGTCTTTATCAGAAGAAATCATGGTTTTGAGAACCCCCTGCCTGTTTGTATCTCATGCACCAACTGGTAAGCAAAATGACAGTGAAATGAACCGTGATATACACTACATCTAAACAGAGCAAAAAAAACCCTCACACTAAAACACTGATATTGTGCAATTATAGTAGGATTAAAATATCACTGTTACCATTTACTTATTCTTTTTATCCTTTCACCAGAATCATGATTCATGCAAAGAAAATAGTTCAGACAAAATTTCATGGAATATTTTGCCTAGACACATTTCATTATCAAAGTACTTATCATTTTTATCAACTTAAGCAGTATTGAGTAAAATATATTTCTAAAAAAAACCCTTATTTAATCAGATTTACAAATAAATAGAATGGACTGATGAAATTAGTCATTAGAGGTATGTTTTGTAGTTGGACTAGTTGCATGTCCTTAAAACACGTGAAAAAAAAACCAGACCTTACTTTACCTGCACCTTTAAATATTAGCTAATGATGAACAACAGTCTCACTGTTTTGCAGTGGTGGGCAGCCTCTAACACTTTAGAAGCTATCTGATGTAAAATTTGAACTAGGAAACTCCTATTTGCCTGCTTCATCTACTTAAACTGCACAGTAATCAATGATGGTTGCATGCCAGATTAAACAGCCTCAAGTAATTCTGCCACTCAGTAATGTTTTCTTGAGTGCCTGCCACAGAACTCAGTTTGGATTGATTTGTAACTAAATCAGATGGTACAGAATAAGGGAGAGAAGGTTGGACCCTGACACGCACTAATGTAAGAATGGAATAGACCACTGCTATGCTGCCTTCTTGTATGCATGCTGAAGTACTGATAATTTGTTTTGAAAAAAGGATTAACAATAGCAAAAGCAACTGTTGCATGAAAGCTCGGTCCTACATTGGACTAGCTAGTTAACTAACTAGCCAATGTTCTACTGTGGTAGGGAGACACTAAGGAAACATTTGGTCTGTAAGATTGCAAATTGTGTTAAGAAAAAAATACATGCTGGATCTTTGCATTTAGGTAATATGGATGCATGATGATCTTTGCATCCAAATACATGCTGGATCATGCAATGGCTACAAGACTACGCCGCTGTGACTTTCCTATGGTAGTATGTTTTTGACCAATTCAGACTGTCTGATGCTGGGGGCAAACACTTTAGACCTTCAGCTGTGGTTGTAAGGCTTGTAGATAGAAGGGCAAAATGTCACAGTCACAGAATAGCTCAAGTTGGAAGGGACCCATAAAGATCATTGAGTCCAACTCCCTACTTCTTTCAGGACTACCTACAACTGAATCATATGACTAGTGTTGTCCAGATGCTGACAGGCTTGGTGCTGTGATTGCTTCCCTGGGAAGCCTTTCAGTGACCAACCACCCTCTCAGTGAAGAGCCATTTCCTAATGTCCCATCTGAACTTCCCCTGATGCAGCTTCATTCCATTTCCTTATGTTCTAAGTCAACTAAGCAGTCACTAGCTTCATCTAGTGGAATGCTAGTCCTTATGATGTAACTACATGCATCAAATAGCAATTAAAATTAGGTACATTGTCTGAACCTCTCAGTCTAATTTTGAGAAATTAGAACTTATAATGCCTCAAGATAAAAAACTAAATTCTGCATTATTTTTTTTTGCAGTTGCTTGCAAATCACCTTTGAGTCTTAGGTGGTGACGAAAGATTAGAGCGCAGACTCATGTTGTAAACCTGTGAGTTTTAGTCCAGAAAGAACATTTCTAGGGTCATCTAAAGACCAGCTGCACTGGAATCTCATTCAGATTATGAGTTAAGTTCTGTTGGACAGATTCCCTTTGCTGAAAGAACTATTAATTATTCCTTCCTCTTTATTCAATAAGCTTTTATATTCAATAAGGCAGCTAGAAAAGCTACCTTAAAATCTAGTTACTAACAAATTGTATAGTAACACTTACCGCAGTATAGGTATAATCTTGTTGGCTTCATCAGTAGAATCAGCTTTAAAATTGCAAAATCCCTCCTTTTTGTGTTGAATTAACACAACTATACATTTTAAATTGATATCATGCTCTTGGCATGAACAATTTAAAACAGTCTGCAAATCTGACATATTTTGCTCATACATATAATTCATTTTCTGTAACTATCACTGCTTCCAGCAAAATCCCATTGTAGACCAATAAATAACACCAAAAAAACCAAAAAAGTAATTCATGATAACCAAAATAATTAAATAGTAGGAGAAGGTTAAAGATCAGCATTCATTTTTCAAATTAAATTTAAAAGTCTGCGGTAGTTACTTAGAAGATTGGCAAGTTTTACAAATAGCATCACCAAGCCTTTTAGAGAGAAACACAGCGGCATTAGGATGGAGTCATTAGGCAATACATTTATTTTGAAGCCAATTAACCTTTTGTCAGAGAAATGTCGGAGCTGTAATGGTTTCAGCAGTGGAGGTCAGCCTCTAACAGAGGCACGTATGACAGCGATTATGCTGTCTGACATATGCTGTAGACTGAGAGTACAGCTGTGGAATGAGAATCTGCCTTCGTTTGTATTCTGCTCTGCATTTTCAGGGAGCAGGCAATCTTGACCTATCCATTTAGGTTATTAAAGCTTCTATTTGGAAGTGTCCTGCAGGAAGGTGAAATCTGGGGGAGATAAATGGCTGCTGCTCTCTGTATCCAGCCACTTCCATCATTTGATGGACTGCCTGAAACAGGCTGCATTGCCAGATCCTCATAAAAATAGAGATGAATTGGGAAGGAAACAATTCTCTAAGGGAAAGCAACTCTGTCATCTTCCTTCTTTGCAGCATATAATTTAATTGTTAGCCAAGGTAGACAGCTGACTAAGGGGCCTTTCTCTAATGGCTTCTCCACCATCTTCCATTTGCTAAGGAATTATTTCAGTTTATTTACTTACAAGGTAACTTTGTTTGACAATGAGAGATGTCACTTCAATAAGCTCAGCTGGCTGTCACAGCTGTGCCATGACTTACCTTCCAGGCGATTTTGTTTCCTGCAGTATCATGATCAAGGGCAATTGGGAGGTCTCCTCGCTCATAAAACTTGCGAAATATTGTGGGCTTTGGTGGTCTTTCTTTAAATGCTCCTGCAGATGGGGGCCCTCTTACCTTAAAAAAACAAGACCAAACAAAACAAAAAACCCCATAGTTCAGTAGTGATAGATTTTTAGAAAAAGCCCAATTTATATGGCTCAAAACAGAAACAGATAAGAAAGAATAATAAAATTGATCTCCAAAATTATAATTTGATTTCTTCTTCATATGTTATATTTCCCTTCTTTGAAAGTATACTTCAGCAATGACCTACAGGTTTTGTTAACTGCTGGTTTTTTTTAACTACCAGTTTCAGATTGTTCCATAATACTCGTTTCTATTTCAAAGTAGCCATCTCCATTACTGGAGCATTTTTAAGCAGAACACCAAGAACATCACTGACACCATATTGACATTATGCAGTAGAAGATGTTGGAAAACTAAGCATTTATTCTTTTTCTGTTTGTTTCTTTTTAGAAGTCATTTGACCTAATTTCTGTCTAACTGTCCTCAAATTCCATTGTCCTTCCCTGGCCACTATCTACTCTATTCATTTTATCCCTTCCTCAGCTACTGCAGATCTGGCTTTCATATGACTTCCAGTCCTTCAGTATTCACAGCTGAAGCACTGGAAGAAATGCAGGAATGGAAGAAATGAAGGAAAGTCTTCTCTCAGAAGTCTCTTCTCTGTTTGTGAAGAAATTTGATTTAGCTCCACATAGTTCCTTATCTGAGTTATTGCTGGTTAGCATATTGTGTAGCCTGAGTGCCTGAATGACAGTGTAATTCCAAAATGCACAAGTGTGAACTTTTTTCTCAGACAAACATAGTAGTAACAGCAGCTAACAAGTGGCACTAAAGTAATAGAATTTCAAGTACTTATAAGAAATCTATTGTTTAAGCTAATTAACACAGCTAATCTCAAATGCTAAAAGAGACTGAGAGAGCTAAACTAATCTCAAATGTCCTTGACAACTGATTCTTCCCTGAAAAACTCCTGCCTGTTTTTGGTTTTATAGACATACTTCTGGGACAAGAACTTTCTACAATTTTCTGCAAATCTCTTTTGTCAAAAATGCTTTTTTGACTTGCTACCTTTTATAAGACAGGAAGTATCATTTTCAGATAACTTCAAGGATCATGAATCATACAATTAATACTGCTCTATTTGTCTGTCTTCAGTCACTCTTATGTTTCTAGCAGTACAAAAATTCAACGTTCCAGTGAACAGAATGCAAACATGTAACATCTTTTGTTTCCTTTGCACTATTCTGTAATTTAATTACTAACTACAGATCGAAATCTGACTTGGCATCCTTTTCTTCAAAAGTATTTTGACATGATTTTTCATTGGCTGAGGTAGAGGGGTCCATCAGTGATATGCCTACACTGTACTTTGCTAGAAATTGCTCAAACTAGAGCTGCTAAATTGTGACCTATTGTTGCATATTACTGTCACTGATAGACCATGTCTAGTGAAAATAGATTTGATATGCATAGCTGTAACTGTGCTTAGTAAACACATCTGCGGCAGTTGAGAGTAATGCTCCAAGAAAAGCATTTCTAACCAATGTAAATAAATCTACGTTTACTGTTCCGTAGAGAAGCAATTTGTTCTGTGCTACTAGTATAAGTACTTTCACTTCTTGTTAATTTCTTTTTTTGCATTTCAGGCAAGTCTATGAGTCACTGTTTATTTGAGGCCACTAGAAATGCATCCATGTTCCTTTCGTTTATTTTTCACACACAGGACCTTCACAAGTCCTTTAAAACTTTGTTTTCTTACAATATTAGGAGTCGCTGTTCTATTAAATTTTAAATTATTGATAAAGCATACGTTGTCTTGATTATGAGATACAATCTTAATTATTTCTTGCAGACTATCATCATTAGAGGTGGTTAATGCAATCCCAAACTGCATCTTATTTGAAATGAAATGTTTTCTTCTTCCCAACTCATGTTAATAAATTTGCTATGAACTTTTTCCTATTGCACCTTTATAAATTACCTAGAAAATATGTTTGTATTAATTCTACTTTTTCCTATTCTTTATTCGGGAACAAAGAAACTAGGAGAACTAAAAGGATCTTGGTTATCAAATCCATGCTGTTGTGCATTATCCTCTCTTAAGTAATTAGAAACTACATCTTAAACAGAATGCTTACTCATATCTACCACCTCAAAAAAAGATATGGTAGAATTAGAAAAGGTTCAGACAAGGATAATGACTGAGGGTATAGAATACCTTTTATCTGAAAGGAATAAACTGGGAAAAGGATGACTAAGGAGGAATAAATAAAGATCTATAAAATCATGACTTCATGGAGAGGATGAATAACGACAGATTTTCCACTGTCTCCTTCATTAAAAGTACTGGACATAAGAAAAATCTAGTAAATAACAAGTTCATAAGAAACAAAAGTAGCTATATACTCAAGCCAAAAGTCACTGTTGGAAATCTTAAAAGTTTCTCTACATTCAAGCTGTGACTGGAAAAGTTAATGAAAGAGAAATCCATTCAGGTTTTCTAAATCCACATGATCAGTGAATGGAAATACAAACAGTATTATCCCTTTTCACACAATACAGTCTGTCTGGGAGATCTAGCATTACTTTTAGTTTCTCATAGCCACAACATATTGGTATCTCATACTTATCCTTTGAGTAACTGCCACAGCATCTATCTTTTCCAGTTGATGAGCTCTATGTTAATAACAGAATTTGTCATTAGTTTTAAGTGCATTATCTTATACTTTGTACTGTTATATTTAATTCCATTTCTATTACACCAGTTCTCAAGGGCTTTCATTTCCATCTCTATGACACTGTGATCTTCATCTGTTTTAATAACAGTTCCAAATGTTATGTCAACTATCAATTTCATTACACATCCTTTTTTTTCTTTTTTTTTGTCCAGGTGACTGATGAAAATATTATATTAGGTTAGCCCTAAAACCATTCATAAAAGTTCTATTAATAACTTTCATCAGTTACCATATCTCTCATTTCAACATTACATGTCATTATTGTCTCCTCTTCAATATGGGGTTTCTTACCCATCTTAAGCATCTCATAATTCTTTTACTGTATAACTAGCAAAGTAGTGTGTACAGCTAGAAAAGGAGCAGCATATCAAATACTTGAGAGAGCTGTTGTTTTTCATTTTGTCTCCAATATGTTTTTCTTGTCAGTTTTGTTTGTAATAGGCATAAAGACCTTTTAAATACCAGGAAAAGGAAGTGACTCCAAAGCAATGAAACAACCTAGACAGGAATGAGCCTAAGATCTGCCTCAAACAAAGAAATATTGAGGATCAGGAAGAGAGTGGAACTGTCCCTGAATTGAAGAAATGGTACCTTGCATTACTAAAGAGTACTGTTGCTCTGCTTTAAGTTTATTACATGGAGACTTGTTCCTTTTTTTTGCACCTGGTAAAAGAAGATTATGAGACATTCACTAGAGTGGTTGCACTGAGCTAATACTGTTTACCTTTTGCAAATAGTTTTCTTTCCTTCCTATCTTTATAACTAGGGAGACCATCACATCATATTTGGTATTCTGAACACTGTTTTCTAATGCAGACCTCTATTTGCATCATTCTAGCCATGCAACTTCAACGGAAAAAATTAAACACTGGAATAGGTTCCCCAGATAAGTTGTGGGACCTCCCTGGAAATACTGAAGATCTGTCTTGGCAGGGACCTGAAGAAACAAATCTAAGACCTATTTTCAAAAGAAGGCTGGATCAGATGATCTCCAGAGGTTCCTCTTAGGTGGTTTTATGTTGCTAAGTAAAATATACAAAAAGAAATCATACATTTTTTTTCCTTGCAATATGAGTTTTGTCTTCTTACAATATTTTATATTGTCATAATTACTGACTAAAAATGTAATTCTGAAAGTATTCAGTTTATTGGCAAAACAGTAACAAATACTATCTTCTTCAATCTAACAAAAATATTTAATTGTGACATAGCTAGAAAGATTAAGATTAGAGATCCCGTTAATTAAAGGCTAATATTCATGATGGCAAGATATATGAAGCAATAAACAGCTTCTCAGATTCGTTAAATGCCAGAGAATTTGAAGAGTTTAATAACTGCAAAACTAATTTATTGTAATTCTATGCCATTGAACTATGCAACAAGATAAAAGATACAAGCCATTAAGCAAAAGAAAAAAAAAAAAAGGAAAAAAAAAGAAAGGCCATCTTTCTTTCATTGACTCATGGGCATTTGAAATCATTGTATCAGGTTGCATTCTTGGACTTTTCAGTGATGGCCCATTAGGAAAATGACTAAGAAAAAATATTTTAAGCCAGGTTTAAACAGTGATTAATTATTTGAAGACTGAATTTTCCACATTTCTTGAGTGTCAAACTCTGCATACTCAGGGATCTAAACACAGACCTGCAAAGGAGAACTGGTGATTTTCATGAAAATCAACACTAGCTTCATGAGCAGTTTAAGTCAGACAAAAATCGACACTGGTATGAAGACACATGGTCTTCCCCACCTCATGCAGTTGCAAGCCACCACAATTTACTGCCCTCCATGAATGACAAAAACTTTCATGAAGGTATTCAGAAGACCAGATCAGGAACAAAAGGATGGGTTTTCTGGTTTTCTCCCTTGGTGGTGTTGGTTGGTTTGGATTTTTTTTTAGTTCTGTTTGGTTTTGTTTTGGGTTTTTTTTAGGTTGATTTCTGAAGTATCAGCTTATTAAGGAGGTTTACTGGAAAAATGAGTGAACACTTAAGCTGGCACAAGCAAGGGAGGAACTTGGAGTGGGACAGGAAGAAATAGGTGACTAGTTCTTCAAGGAGTGGTGCTGGTAAAATCTAACATCAAAACTAATCGGACATACAGTTTCTCATTTGTCTATGCAGATATACACTTTTTATTCAAATCAGAAGTCAATAATTGTTCAAGTGCTATTTGGAAAATAAAATATGTGAACACATATAAATTTGTAGGGATTAAGGATATTAAGAGACCAATGTTTTCAGTTCCTAAAAGTAAAATGGACTGAGATCCTACTGTTGCTAAATAATGATTCATATATTAAAAAAGATC